GCCCAAACCGACCTAAGGACTTCACTCAGCGTCAATTCATTTCGTATACAGTACAACCACATGTGCTAGTATGGGATAGCCCAAGCTTAGTAAATTATTTATGATTTAGCCTTACATTCTGGTAGGCCGGTGTGTATGAGTTAGTCGATAATTCTGAGGAATTAGTCATTGATTCAGAGGAACTTCCTATTTACCCCGACGTGGTAGTTTAGGTGACTAAGTCTGTCCAATACAACGGTATTGTGCCACGTGGGTGGGTTCCCGTTGCGTCCGCCACCACGGCGTTAAGTTTAAGGCGTGGGCCCGCCACTTAACGGTTCTAGGTCATATATCGAGTATGGCTTAGGATGGAGTAACACGTATCGTGCTGGTGTAAGGCTAAATCATGAATCTTGGAAGGGCTTTGTTGTGAGTAAAAAATCGGGTACTTATGTATCGCGTGCCATGCTTTTGCATGATTATTATTTCGCATCATGTGGGTAAAGTGTACGTACTCTGCAGAGTTAAAACTAATCGATTAGCCGTGCTCACGGTCAAGAGCGGCGTGTGAATATGTCATGAGTTTAGACATGTGTTTTATTCTTCTAAAGCTGAATTTGAACTTCAAAATGTGATGTGATTTGTGGTTTATATCCTTGCTGCCATGGAAGGCAATAAGGAGCTATGTTATATGTGTTTAACATCTAATTTGGTGCCCAATTGCTAAGTGTATGCTTGCTGAAATTTATTTGAAAATAAATCTGAAATTTGAAATGCTCTTTGCAAACTAAATTTGCTTTATGCTAAAATTATCCCATGTTAGCTTTACTTTGAATTTGCCATGCATGTAGAGTACTAGGCTTGCTTGGTGCTTGCCAGTACAATTTATTGTACTGACTCTTGCTTGTATTGTTGTATTGTTGCATGTTTAGAATTGGTTGCAGGTGAGATCACTCCTGTGGAGGATGATTTCGTTGGGGAAGTTTCTTTCTTCCAGGATGGTTCTTACTAGGGTCTATCCTAGTCGGTTGCATGAAAGATCTTTTGGGTAGAAGATGCTTCCGCGAACCTATCTATTCAGCCAATCGGCCATGTGTATCTAAGTTATAAGTTGTATGATCCTAACTAAAACTTAGAACTTAGAACTCCCTATGTTGAGATATCATGTGCTTGGATGAAAGTGTTTAGTGTGTTCCTTTTGTTAGGGACATATTAAACATGAGTATGAGTTAAAGATATTTGAGATGTTGTGGATCTTTAGCCATTTTTGTCAAGTCTCCTGATTGTGTAACACATCTGGTCGCCACCTTCGAGTGGTTTGACGGGCACATCTCAGGCTGAAGTTGACTGGCAGGCTAAAGGCCCGGCAATGTCTCACATATTTTTCTCTCGGAGCGTCGAATGTCTTAATATGTTTGATGGAAGAATTGTGATTAGCTATTCATCCTTCAAATATACTAAGGGGTTCGGAGTGCTTCCGACAGTTCGCCCCTACCGCCGAACTATTCGCCGTCTTGTTCACGGAGTGTGCGACGACCAAGGACGTGAACACGCCGGCCGGGCCGAGGAAAATAGTTTTCGGCTGTGTGAACTTCATGCTTCGGTCGAAGCGTTTGGACACCTAGCCGGTGCCCGCATTGACGGCGAAATGGGACCATAATTGGATGTAGAAGTGGTTCTATATCGACAACCCATACCCCGCCGAAGATGACAAGTGCTGGTAATTCTTACGGTCACAGAGAAAATCCGCTAGCGCACGGATATACCAATGTAGCACTTCCCCTACGGAGTATTCCAAGGGTATAGAATCCAAGGGAAAGTGTGTGATTAGATCTTCCTCCGGTTCATCCAAGGACACCAAGGAAATGATAGGCCAGGATAGAGAGGATTTACTAGTGAGAAACATTGTCTAGGGAAAGCTTAACTTTAATCCTAATGCAATACTTCAGGCACTGGCAACCCGCTGTTCTCAGATGTCGCTCTACTACGTACTCGGACAGGGAGGACTTAAGAGATCTTGAGGGTTGTCACCACCTTTACACCTACCTTAAACGTACTGTGGGATACGCAGCAATTACTGGAAAACAATTACCTAAATACCACGTCTAAGCAATTAATATCTACTTTATTGTTTATGACTCACCAAAGCAATCACTATATTTTAGTTGATTATAGTGAACAATAATCTCGTATGTTACTTAGGAACTAACCAAGAGATAATTGTCACAAGACAAATATAAATTTCTCAAGAAGAATATTATATTGAATGCAGAGTAATAAACAGAATAAAAGAAATATGACAAGATTACCGACAACTCCGGAATTCTTCCAACTTCTTCTACTCTACCAGCCGAAAGGTCAGTCAATGTTGCCAGTGCCGATTTAGCTCTTTGGGAGATGGATGGTCTCAATTACTTATCTGGAAAAGTTTGGGATGGAGATTTTCTAAAAGTGTCCGATTGTAATATACAGCCAATTGAAGATGGAGAGCCCAAGTTATTATTTTTAGGGTGTTGTGGAGGGTTCAAACGTCTACACCAAGGACACAGTAGATGATCTCGATGACAAGCAAGGACAGGGTTTCATGTCGGCCGACGACTTGGAAGAAATTGATATAGGTCCGGGTGATCGACCAAGGCCGACATTTATCAATAAGAACTTATCTCCAGAATTTAGAACCAAGTTAATAGAGCTCTTAAAGGAATTCAGAGATTGCTTTGCTTGGGAATATTATGAGATGCCAGGACTTAGCCAATCGATTGTTGAACATCGGCTACCTATCAAACCAGGAGTTAGACCACACCAACAACCTCCGAGAAGATGCAAAGCCGATATGCTCGAACCTATCAAGCCTGAGATTAAACGTTTATATGATGCTGGTTTTATTCGTCCTTGCCGATACGCTGAGTGGGTTTCTAGTATAGTTCCTGTTATTAAGAAAAACGGCAAAGTCAGGGTATGCATTGATTTCAAAGATTTAAACAAAGCTACCCCAAAGGACGAGTATCCAATGCCAGTAGCCGATCAGCTGGTTGATGCTGTTTCAGGGCACAAGATACTGAGTTTTATGGATTGAAATGCAGGATACAATCAGATTTTCATGGCCGAAGAAGATATCCATAAGACAGCTTTTAGTTGTCCTGGTGCAATCGGCTTGTTTAAGTGGGTTGTGATGACTTGTGGCTTAAAAAGTGCTGGAGCTACATATCAAAGGGCCATGAATTATATATACTAGTAATTTGCCCGTGCTAACGCTACGGTAGTCTCTACTATTATAAAAGTTGAAAGATGTTTCCGCTAGAATTTTGGTACGTCATATGTGTTTGAATCGGTTTTAATTTTATGTTTCTATCAAATCCTTTACAATAATTCATAAGAAGTGTAGAAAACATCTATTTTGAGCAACATTATAACAATTCAGAGCATTGGTTCATTGAGAAATAAATTCAGATTATGCAATCCAAAACCATCTATTTTTGATGTTCTCCAAAGAAAAATTCAGAGAATAAAACATCACCATCACTCAGTAAGTATGACTATGATCATAACCATAAACACCCCTAGACAGTTTTAGTTAATCAATATCTCAATACTATACTCAACAGAAAAAAACCCAATGTTCCTGAAACATCCATGCATGATACACAACAGTTATGCATGCCGCTCGCCAACACCCTATGGAATTGTCGCCCTCCATACTTGCCTTTGTCATGCCTTCTATTGTCCACCATGCCTCCAGTCCTCCACAACCACCTTGCATCATCTCCTATAGCAACCTATCCACATAAGAGAATGTCTGCATAAAGACTAAATAAACCTATCCAAGCTTACAAAAGATCAAAAGTTATTGTCTTAGCTGAAACTAAAATTGAAAAAAATGCCACCAAGATAAAAAAAAAACTATGTAAGCTACATATTTTACATTTAAGTAACAACATCAGTAACAACAACAGATTGATCGTTGCATTAAGATTTATAACTGGACTATTCATTTCATGGTCCTTTTTTACCCCTAAACTTATCCATTTATGGTCTATCATGCATGGCCAAACAATGTGTCATTTTAGAGACATAAAACAGGGAGGCGCCGATGACTGGGTGTCGGTGATGAGCAGATGGTCATCTTCAGACAATAATGAAAAAAATTCTTATGCAAAACATCATAATTCAGAGTGTATGCTATACCTAAGCTGCAGGAAGAGCACATACTGTTCCTCTTCTTGCACAAATAGCAAGAGCTCAAGAAGCAGCAAGACACCCGCCACCTCAGGCGCCGCAACTCTCAACGGCGCGGTCATCGAATATGTGGGTCGTCTTGGTGTTGTCCCTGCAGAGGCACAAAATCGCATGATTTTAGCCTTTTGAGCAGCAGAGGCGGGAGATGACAGTATTTGCAATGTTCTGCTTCACATACACTGTGTTGGTTCTGCAATTGATAATGGACATGATAGAATCTAAAGCTAGTCATTAGTGTGATGGGAACTATCCTGCCTAACAAACGTGAACAGAGTAAAAATTCAGTTTAATTCACCATAGCAAAACCAACTTGAGAGTTTAGTTCGGTCCATCAAGCAAAATCATTTTTTCAGAGTTCAGTTCATCGAGCAAAATCAATTTCAAGTTTGTTCAGTTCACCATAGCAAGTAAGTTGGATGTATGAAAGCCTTTGCACGTATTTATTATATTTTATCTCTTTTTCTTTTTGGCTACCAAGCAACCTGTCAATGAACCAATGCAGTCCCATTTAAGTATTGAACATTTAAGAAAACAGATGGTATAAGTTCAGTAGAGTGAAAGAGAAAATTCAGAGCAGAATATCCTCTGATCAATAATGCCAAAAAAGGGCCCATTCTCTGACTACCAATCGGCGATGAATGGAGGTCAGCTGATCATCGCTGGTGAAACTGCCGTGCTTGATGTCAGGCCATAAGTAGTTCAGTCACCACAGCCAGCTACTCTTCATCGTCCTCTTCAACCATTTAGTCCAACATTAATCAAATCGTTCCAAATTATAAATCAAATTAATCAAACCAAACCAATCACGTCGCCTTCTGTTTCCGCTATTTCTTAACTCTATCAACATCAGAATGTACTGAGTTTGTCATCTATATATGTTGTGCATATTTACAATCTGAAACTAAACTGAGATACATATTCAGATTCTGGAATATATATCATGTGCTGAATCTGAAAGAGCATATGATGTGCAATACAGTGCACTATTTGTTTTCATGGCAGGTGATAACATCTACGCCATTTGGTTTCATGGCAAGTGAATATACATGCACTATGATGCTCTAGAGCATCCTTAATCCAACAGTTCAAAATAAGAAAAATGACCCCTTCACTGAACCTCTTCATCCTATTCCATCACACAAATAGAGAATTGAACCATAGTCAGCCACCAGATTATCCAATGATGACTCTAGCCGAAGGGATATGTCTTCAAGTGTTTTCTTGACAGCTTCATCCAGAGGGGCTAGGACCTTGCTTGTGGTTTCTTCTTCTGTCTCATCAAAGTAATCTTTGATATCAAAAGAAAACAAATCGGCCAAGGCCTACAAGGGAGAAATTCGAAGATAGATAAATATCAAACAAATCTAGTCGATCTAAGACCTTGTGTTAAAGAGAGACTTAATGGGATAGCAGGAGTGGGTGGTTGTTCTTCTTCCTCAATATTGTGGCTTCCTGTAGCCGATGGAGTTCGTTCACTTGACATGCTGTACAGGAGGTGAAGGAGGAGGAGGAGGCTAAAGAAAATAGATGTTAGTCCACATGGAGTATGATTAGAACTGAAATATTTTCAGAAGAATCTTACTGGTGAGCTGGTTTGGACTGGGTTGCTTCCGATTTCTTTTTCACAGCAATCTTTTTCTTCTGCAAGGATAAGACTTAGAGCATCTCCAACACCCTCATTATTCTCCTCTCCAAGCTAAATTTTAGCCATCCTAGTAAAAAAACACCCTCCAACAGTCTCTCCAACCGGATGGCTAAGCCATCTGGCTGGCCAAAACCATCCCTCCACTAGCCAAATTTAGCCAGCCAAAAGTGACTAGCCAACCGTGGGCCCCACACGTTCCTCCTCCCCATCTCCTCTCTCGCATCGTCCGTGTCCTCCGCGCCATTGGCCTCGCGCCATCGCATCGTCTGCCGTCCTCCGTGCCGTCGGCCTCGCGCCATCCATCCACCGATGCCACCCGCGGCAGCCGCCGCCGGTGACGGCGCTACACCCATCCAAGAGCCGCCCCCGAGCCCACCACCGCCTCCCCCGCTGCCGCCGCTTCGACCGGCGCCCTCCCTTGCCTCGCCCCAGCGTGCCCGATCCCCCAGCGTGCGCGCGTGGAGAAGATGACGACGGCCACAGCAGCGACGGCGACGGGGATGGCGCCGCTCGTAGATCCCGCCATCGAGGGCTTCCGCATCCCCTTCCTCCCCAGCGACAACGACCTCCTCGACTGCCTCCTCCGCCCCAAGATTGCCTCCGGCCGCGTCGATTCCTGCTTCGCGCCGCAGAGGAGGGCAACCTTCCTGGTGCGCTTCGCGGCAAGCTCGCGGAACTAGGCCTCCGCCGCGTCAACGTGGCCGCGGAAGGAGGTGCGGGAGAGGCGGAAGTGCGCGACAGATCCCGGGTGGGAGGCGAGCACGCAGGTGACGGCGCCACCGCCGCTGCTTCACTGTGGCACATAATCTGGCCCTTCTTTACTGTGGCGCATCATCAACCAAATCAATGGATGCAAATGGATTGGTTAATCAAGTACAACGAACAAACAAGAAGCTAAATGGCTTTGATGCTTGTGCAGAACTCAGAGCTGAATGCAAAGTTGCAAAGCGTATTCATTACTCGAGTAAACATGTTTCTTCTTAAGGATCTTCTTGGGCGCCGGCGCAGTGGCCTGGCCATCTCCTGCCGCGGCGGCACCAGCGGCGGTCTTCTTCTCCTCCCCGGCCGGCTCAGCAACGGCGGCGGCCGCCTTGACAACAGGAGCAGCCAGCCCGCGGTTGGCGTGATGGAGAAGAGAGCCCGTGGTGAGAAGAGGAGAGCTTCCATGGCTAGAGCCCGTGATGATGCAGAGAGGCTGACATATAGATCCCGATGTCATAGAGTCAAAATAGAGAGGGTAGATGGAGAGGCTGTTGGAGTGAACAATTAGTTTGACTAGCTAAATGAGATGGAGAGTTGGCTATATGGGTGTTTGGAGAGTTCGATTTGGAGAGGCTGTTGGAGATGCTCTTATAAGCAATCGGCTATGAATAGAATTGTTGAAAAGTTAGGGAAAGGTATTTACCCTCGAGAAATGAGCTGGGGCAGAAGGAGTTGGAGGGGTTTGCTTGGGTGAAGTCGATGGTGTTTTCACTGTATCACTCACTTCGGCTGCGGCTTGATCAACATCTTCTTCAATTTCTTCTTCATCCAAAGGTTGCTCGATGGATGGGTCTAAAGCAGGCAAATCATCGGTTGGCTTGGTTTTCTTTGACTTGGCTTTCTTCTTTGGAGCCGGAGCCGATGGGTCTATAGCCAATGCTCTAGTCTTTCTCTTCTTGTCGGCATCAGCTGGTTCCCTAATGAGGCCCTGGAGCATACTTGAAGTCCTAGGGGCATGATAGCCGATGACAGGAGGAGATGGCCCACCTCTATTGGGAACGAGACCAGGGGCATACTCTATATCTCTGCCACTATTGCTTTGGTGTGGAGGTGAAGATTCTGTTGTCTGCAAAAGAAAGAGGAGAACTGGTTAAGATTCGAGTCGGCTAGCAGTTATTCAATTGAAACTAATAAAACAAAGTATACCTGAGGAATAACATCAGGGAATAGATCTGTCATATACATAGAGGCCGACTGATGAAATATATGCAGTTTCCATTCACCCCACCATCTGTCAAATGCTCTACTCCTGAAGGTTGCCAGCTCTATATTTTCAATGCTGCCCAAAGGAGGTCCTTGGAGATTGAGCAGCCGATCCATCATCAAGATCCATTATCGGCAAGGAACAAGCCAATTGAGTTGACCCATCCCAAACTGTCTGGCAGAGCTCATTGGATGGTAGAATTCATAGGATACCTGTATATTTCTTCCTTGGTGGATGCCAACATGAAGGATGCATGGGCTAATGGCAGCGGAGAAGACTTCTCTTGATTTTTGATACTTTTCAGAGTTGAGGTCTTCAAATCTAAAGTCTCCTGGGAGATCAAGGTTTACTGAATCTTCATATGGGAACCAGACTCGAGCATCTCTTTGGAAACCCTCATAGAAGCTGCATAACCAGTCTTTGAGCAGTTTGGCCGATAACTTTGCTCCAACATCGGTTGGTGTAGAGGCATACTCCCCATAGGACATACATCTGCGATGGGTTCATTCTTCGTCGTCATCATCTGTAATCGGCTCCAGTCTTGGGAATTCAACTTCTGTTACAGATGGCCGATTGACGAATTTCATGACCATCAGATTCAGCCAAGACTGTAATAGCCACCATGGTCCACCTACTCCAACCACTGAGCCAACGGCTATCTTAGCCGATGCATTGTTCAGCATTTGGTACAAATAGCCGAGAAGGATTTTGCCTAAGGGGAATTGTCTCTTTGATTCCAAGGCCTCGGCTCTGAATTGCCAGTTAGTTGTAGGGCCACAGCTTGATCCACAGAAAAGGAATTTCTCCAGCCACATAAGCAGAAAAGCTACATGCTCTCGGGGATTGACAAATCCTTGGCCCATATATGCTGCCACATAACCAGACCAACCGCCTATGCTCTTGGTCCTGAAGTCATACTGATTCTTGGTGTTTAGACTCATAGGGTTAGCCGATGAAGTCACATCCAGACCAGTAATCATGGTGATATCTATTAGTGTTGGGGTCATCGGCCCTTGGTTGAACAGGAAAGCATTGATGGCATTAGAACAGAAATAAGTGGCGGCAGCCATTAAGGGTTCTTCCTTAGCCGAATTCGCTATGGTGAGGGCAAGTGCTTGATCGATTCCAATTTCATCCCAATGAGTTTGCTTGCTAGCCGATACGCGCTTATACCATGTGGTCCAACTTTTCTCGGGTGAAGTTTTCTCGAGGGATGGCCAAGATTTAAAGGTGTTCTTCCAATGACCTAGATTCGCGTTGGCTAATCTAAAAGGAATCCTATTGGTTTCACCGATGATGAACTCAATGGGATCGGGGTTGCCGATTAGACCAAGGAAGTAATGGTTTTCATGCGATAGGCTTGGAATTGCGAGCAGGTTGGAGAGATGCTACAACTCCAAAGGAACCAAGAAGGGGAAAACGAGATAAGGAATAGGGAAACCAATCTGTTGCGAAAAAGGGAGATCTAGCCGACGAAAATAAATTGTAAATTTTTTGATTGATATTGGAGTTAAGGTAGTGTACTAAACTCCACTTCGGCGTTATTACCAAAAGAATCCAACGACTCCTGCAAAATTAATAAATTGCCAGTTACATACTACAGATATATGCGTCGCGCATTTGAGTATAAGTAGGGTGCACGCTTACTATTGATTGTAGGCACACATAATGAAGTCCTTGTCTTGACGGGAAAATAAGCAGGCCTTGATATAATACACCATGTTGGCTGGATCATTTTTCAGCGTTGTCTCATTGACGACAGCTGAATCGAGTAAGGCAACATGGGGTGCGTTATGATGGACATGCTTCCATGTTAATCTAAGAGCAAGACAAGAGTCCGGGTAAGCGTAATTTATGGACAGTTATTGTAGTCGAATAGACAACTGCGTCACATCGAAAGACGTGGTTCTCTCAACAGTGGTTGGAAATAAAAAACAATTTTATTACTTAGTGAAATTTTTTTGGATTCCCCTACTACATGGCCCTAGGGGCTATTTATAGCCCTGTTACAGGTTCCCCCCTTTAGGGTTTAGGTTTTACAGAGGAATTTACATGGTTACCCTTATGATAGGGGCATTATTGGGGGTACACAGTGTCCTTTACATATATGGGCCTCTAATGGGCTAAATGGCTCGGCCCATCTATTTGTCGAACTACCCCAAAAGCGCAACGGCCCGCTGGGCTTCCTTATGGTGGGGTTCGGCACTTGGTGAAGCCCGTGCCCTCGTGCCAAGGCTTTCGCCTTGTCGTTTTCGCCTGTCGGCCCTTTGACGAGATCTTTGCCTAGCGAGGCCCGCGTAACCCGAGTCACGGCTTTCCGCGTAACCCGAGTCACGGCTTTCGCCTGCACGGTTTCCTTTTCAACCTTCGCTGCTCGCCTCTAGCATAAGCTTGCCACCTAAGTTCTTTGTTTTGGCGGATTCAGCCAAAGGCCCTTCGTGGTGTACTTCCAACAAGCCCCTCACGGGCAAGGGTGAGTAGGGAGCTTCGGCCGATACCATGCAAATCGTATGGTGTACCACAAGGCGCCCCCTTTCGGCCGATGTTCCTGCCGAAACCTATGTTGTGTACCTGCAAAGGAGAAGACTTGTTCTCGTGAGTGGCGAAGTGGCTAGGTTGACCTTTATGCTACTATGAATAGTAATGGGCCCCATGGGCCTTGCCTTTTTTGTCTTCGGCCCATTACTGTTTGGCCTTGGCCCGATGCGAATTTACCGTTTCGTCTACCCCTAGACACGTGTCAGGCTCTGATTGGGCGGGAGACGATGGAGTTATATAACCCCGTCTGGGTCACCGCTTCCCCCCCCCCCCCGTTTTTCACTTTTCACTTTTACCGCAGTCACGCTCCGTGCTTTCTGCCCTAGCTTGCGCTTTGGCTTTTCACCACCGCATTGTTACCGTGCTTGCTGCTTCGCGCTCTCTTTCGCACTTTTTCATCTTCGACATCCTTTTCGCCACCACGGACCCGATGGCTCCTCGCAAGCCTACCAAGGCCGGGGCGACGGGCGAAGACCCTGGTAGTCTTGGCGAAGGGTGGTCTTGCTATCTTGGCAAGTCCCTTGTGAAGGAGTCTGACCTCGCCGAGCTCATCCTCACCGGCACCCTCGCAGAGGGTCAGGCAACTTGCGGGGGCGAAGCTGTTGTCCCTTCGCCTGGTGACAGGCGAACTGTTGTCTTTGCCACTTCCCGTGCGACGACTTTCTGCCGTCCGTGCTGGAAATGTATGAGGTGAAGCTTCCCCAGCTTAGCCCATCGGTGTTCCCGAAGTTGGCCGTCTTCGCGTGGATGTGCTGAACATGCGGGTTCGCCCCTACCGCTGAACTATTCGCCGTCTTGTTCACGGCGTGTGCGACGACCGAGGACGTGAACACGTCGGCTGGGCCGAGGAAAACAGTTTTCGACTGTGTGAACTTCATGCTTCAGTCGAAGCGTTTGGACACTTGGCCGGTGCCCGCATCGGTGGCGAAATGGGACCACAACTGGATGCAGAAATGGTTATATATCGACAACCAATACCCCGCCGAAGATGACAAGTGTTGGTACTTCTTATGGTCATAGAGAAATCCGCAAGCGCACGGATATACCGATGTAGCACTTCCTCTACAGAGTATTCCAATGGTATAGAATCCAAGGGAACGTGTGTGATTAGATCTTCCTCCGGTTCATCTAAGGGCACCAAGCAAATGATAGGCCAGGATAGAGAGGATTTACTAGTGAGAAACAGTGTCTAGGGAAAGCTTAATTTTAATCCTAATGCAATACTTCAGGCACTGGCAACCCGCTGTTCCCAGATGTCGCTCTACTACGTACCCGGACAGGGAGGACTTAAGAGATCTTGAGGGCTATCATCGCCTCTACACCTACCTCAAACGTACCGTGGGATACGCAGCAATTACTGGATAACAATTACCTAAACACCACGTCTAAGCAATTAATATCTACTTTAGTGTTTATAACTCACCAAAGCAATCACTATATTTTAGTTGATTATAGTGAACAATAATCCCGTATGTTACTTAGGAATTAACGAAGTGATAATTCTCACAAGACAAATCTAAATTACTCAAAAAGAATATTATATTGAATGCAGAGTAATAAACAGAATAAAAGAAATAGGAGAAGATGTCTCGTCCTGATTTTCGTTTCAGGATTTATAAATTATTTAATAAATTATTATTAGAATTTATATTAAATGTTCATTAATTTACAAGTGAAGTTAAATGTGGAAAATAAAATTTCCTAAATATAAAGCATGGCTGGATTTAAGTTTTTTTAAATTCTCCATGGTTAATTATACTCTCTGAAATTTTCTCGGATTTTTCGGAGCTCAACTCCTAATTTTAATAATACAAAGAGCAGTTCAGGAATTATTTAAATAATAAATTAATCATTAAATGGTCTGGTTATAATCTTGTTAAGTACTTTGAGTGTCCAATTAGTTTTAGGATTTTTCCTGAAATTATTTGTGCATTAGAAGTATTTTTAACAATTCAAAGATCATTTTGGTGATTGATTTATTTGGAAAAGTAATAAAAATCCTCCTCAGGTTGGGCCCTTTTCGGACCATTCCTTCCTCCTTCTCTCTGTTCCTCACCCCAGCCTAAAGTCTGATTTGGCTCCCCCTCGCTACAGTGCGTCTTCAAGCTCCAGCCAGCCGTCCAGAGGCCGTGTTCTTCCCGAGAGCCGCCGTCTCCTCCATCAAATTCGATGCATCCATTGATCCACTTCCAAAATTGATTACAAAAACGGATTCTTCTCTATCTCCTCTATCTTATACCAAAGAAAGCCCCCAACAAATCCGTTATCTATCTCACGAATTTTGGCCTTTTTATTCAGGTGAACTCGAGATAAATCCTAACTTCCTTCACCAAATCCATCCGTTCCCGAGCCGATTTCCTCCACCTTTGCCTATGAATAGCATCCCCTCGGCCTCCTCTTCTGTTTCCCTCTGTTTCCCGAAGTTTTCCCTGACCCTAGCCGCCTCCCCACGTTTGCCTTCTCTCTCCAACTCCGGCCGCCGCTCCAGCCGGCAGTACGCGTCGCCTCCGCCATCTCCGGTCAGTTCCGCCACTTCCCACCACTCCGCAATGTTGATCTCTACCCCGGCCATCGGTTTCCCAAAGTCAACTCCCGCTGGAAGTGTTCCGTCATCATGAACCAGTGGGTTGCCATTGCGTTTTGATCTCCGGCGAGGCCCTGCTGCACCTCCCGTCGTCGCCTTCGGTCGCCGCCGCCTCCAATGGATTCGCAGCTGCGAGGAGAACACTGTCCACCATCTCGTCTTCGCCAAAGATTGCTGGAACGCCGCTGTCATCGTTGACCAGTACCTCACCGCCGTCCCGATCTCGTCGCTGGCCATCTCCTTCGTTGTTCGTCGTTGTGTAAGTGTTGGTAAGGATCGTCGCGTCCTCCTCTTCCTCCCCGTGCTTTCGGTTTCCGCCGTTCTGCCGCCGTTTGCCGTCCTCACCGCCGAATAGAGCCGCCGGCGTCGATCCCACGTGGTTGCCATGTCATCACCTTGTCAAGCTGTTGTCCCTACCATCTAAGTGTCACGCCGTCTCTCAGATCCCACGTGGTAGCCATCTAAAACCTTAGATCAGATCTATCTGAGCCATCCAATTTTGGTCAACTAGGTCAAAGTTGATCTCAGCCGTCCAAAATCAATATAAATCCTGTTATTCCTTTTCAATGGCATATTAGTTCTTTTTACTATATATCGTCTACTAAATTCATTCCAATAATTCCGAGAGGATACATTAGTCTTATATCTCGTATATAAATTATTTGTAAATTGTTTAATTAATTTGGAATAGTCTTTTCTTTAATAGGTTTAATTGGAATTAATCTTGTAAAATTCATAACTAATTCATACGAAGTCAGAATGAGGCCGTTCAAGTCTCATAATTCATCTAAAATCATGACCTATATGTTTATTTACTTTTTATGTACTGTTTATTTGGTTTTTATTAGTCTTATTCTTCGTTTTGCGTGTTAGCTTGTCGTTTCCGTCGTTGCGAAGGTTCGTGAGTGCGTCGGAAGTGTTCAAGAAGATTAATTGAAGACCGATTATTGCAAGGCAAGTCACACAGATCCCAAACAACCCTTTGAGCATGTTGAACCTATTTAAAGCTATTGTTTTATTTTAACTTATGCATTATTTTCGAATGTCATCGGGTGGTGAGCCTTTCCCAATTAATTGTGGCCGGAGATGACTTTATTTTCCAATGGATTAGCTTGGACCTTATATATTGATTAGCTTGGACCTTATATATTGGATTGGTTTAGCTAAATCCTATATATATAATTCCTTAGCCATGCATAGAAACATTAGTTCATTAATGGGATGAATCATAGTACATTATTATTTATGGTTATATTTAATGGTAGCTCACGATGGTTAATCGTGTTATGATAATTAATTGATAATTAAAACCTGATTAATGGTGGGTTGTGAGCACATGGTTTTGAAGGTCGTGCTCATGACAATTAAGGACCGGTTCGCCAACCACAAGCTAGCGTGGGCAATGGCTTTACCTTTTGTACAGCATGGTTCATTGCGGGGCACCAGATTGAAAAGCGGCGAGAAGTCCGTGGGGG